TTTAAAGATGACCCATAACAGATTATTGCTGAAGTGAAAGCATTAAAAAACAAAGTGTAAAACAAATAATAATAGAAGTTTAAGTTTTCAGTAAAGATAATGTAATATATTTTTATTTTATATAAAATAAATATATATTTTTAATATGTTGCACTCTAAAGTTGCTATAAAATCAAAGCCATAGTTATGTTCCAAATTTGAAGTTGATATCACAAAAAATGTGGTTACTATGAGATTTTGTTTGGGCGCTATACAAAAAATAATCACTGGGTCACACCCGATCTTTATTGAATATTTTTGATGCAGTTTTCTGTTGCAAATCAATCAATTTCTATCACAATATCACTTATATAAAATTAAAAAAGCAGTCACCAAATATGGAATCTTGACTCTCAGACCTTTCCAACAGGATTGTGTGTGTGTGTGCGTGTGTGTGTATATATATATATATATATATATTAGTAAATTTCGCAAACAAAGAAATAACATTTTGAAGTAGAAAACCTGAAATATTATTTTCTTGTCAAACAAATCTCAGTGTAACTTTGAAAAATATTTTTCACACAGATGCATGTTTGCCCTCAGATGCTGCGCATCATATCAGAATGTGGAGTCGTCACCGTTTAGAAGTGTGCGAGGTTGGGGGACCGAGAGCTGAAGTAGTCTGGTCTGCTCTGGCATTGAACTCGTCAGTATTCCAGTCTCTCGTTGTGTTCTCTTCTTCATTCTTCTCTCTTCCGTCTCTTCCACCTTCTGTCACTGCTTCCTATTCCTCAGCTTCCTCGTCTCATTTTCTTCCCATCTACTCAAGCATCTGAACACGTGTGTGTGTGTGTGTGGCCGACACACCTTATATCCTCCTCCTGAGTGATTTCATGTGGAGTCTTAATACGCCTCATTATCGGCACTACTTTACCTTGAGATTTGTTGATGCAAAAGCAGACACAATGCAATTTGCATATATTTGTTCCTGTTCCCTTGAAGAGTAGTAATTACGAAGCTCTGAGAATGATTTCCAAAGGCGTAGCGCTTCAACTTTCATCAAGGAGAGGGGGGCTGCCGAAACCCGCCGTATAACTGAATTATCATCATGTTTTTGCAGAGGTCTCCTTATATTTTTATTCTCAAGACAGAGCCGCTAATCGCAGTTTGTGAAGTGTCTGAATAAGAGGGTGTCAATCCAGAATTGTTCTGGCACCCGCGGCGCAGCGAGGGTCGGCTTCACGCAGGTAGATTTAATTGTACGCGCTTGCCCGGAGCTCTATGCTGCCTGGTGATATTTTTATTACAGTACCGACCCCAAAAGCCCTCCAAACCTCCAACATTTGTAGAACACAATCAGTTCCGCTCGATTCACAAATTGTCAGACGAGGAATGCTGAGGAGTAGTTGTAGACCAGAGGTGCTCAAACTTAACTATAGTACAACGGCGGCCCACCGACCCCATTCAACACTATTTAATTATTAGCAAGTTTTTTTGTTTGTTTTTTTGTTTCTCAAACATTGCACTACATACAACATGAGAAAACAGAACTTATGAAAACTTTTTTTGGAATTTGAATATCAGGGTAAATTGTACTTATTTGGTAATTTTTGCTAAAGTCAAAAGTTTTCACCCCTGGACTCCTAATGCATTTTGTTTCTTTCTGGACCATCAGTAAATGTCTAAAACTTTTGTAATAGTTGTGTATGAGTCCCTCATTTGTGGTTAGCATGAAAAGATGGATCTCAAAATCATAGTCATTGTTGGAAAGGGTTCAAATATGCAAAAGATGCTGGAAAACCAAATCATTTGTGGGATCTGAAGGATTTTTCTGAAGAACAGTGGGCAGTTTAACTGTTCAGGACAAACAAGGGACTAACCATTAAAAAAAATAAATATTAATGAAAATGCATACTTTTGCATTTTGTTTGATCCCTTTTATTTTTGGTTTGATAAACATTAAAAATGAACATTTTACAGATGTCTTGCTTTTTGATTTTACTGCATTAATTCCATATCCCAGACTTGGGGAAAAAGCCCAAGTTTCTGGATTTGAAAAGTGTGAGAACACTAGCAGATACGTTTGTGTAACTGTGTTAATTGACTTTTTATTTACAAATGTTGGAAAGGTGGATCAATATCTTTACAGGTTTTGGCCTCCTTATCGCTCAACACGTAAGGTCAGTGAAGTCGCACAGCTTTCAGGCTGTTGTTCGAATGGATTCTGATATGGAGACAATGTACCAGCACTGTTTTCTTCTGTCTGTTCTGAAGATAGTAGCTAACAAAACAATCGGTATCGCAAGGATGTTTCAACATTGAGTCATTTCTGAGCGCTGAGATATTTCGAGTGCTTTCACACTAGAGCTGTTTGTAAAGACACACGTTCACACCCAAAACCAAAGATGGCATCCTACAATAGAACTGCAAAAGTAAACAGCTATTGAAGACATACAATTTGTTAGCATGTGCCTAATAATTTATTATAGAATGATGTGTTTCTAGTAGCTTGTCTCAGAATAAATTACCTTTAGAAAACAGCTTGATCTTATGCGATGCGTCCTCGGCAAGTGCCGTTCTGGGCAAGTGAAGTTTTCGTAGGGGGACGAATACCTCAATAACAGTTAAATTAGTGTCTGTTCCTCTTGAGTTGTTACTTGCATACAGTGGTAAACAGCTGTCACTAGTTCTCATGGTGGTGTTCGCACTGATGTTGTAAACTGCTGGGGCTGATGAGGGCCGCTGTCCTGCAGAGTTTAGCGCCAACTTGCCTCAACACACCTGCCTGGAAGTTTCTAGCATGCCTAGTAAGACCTTGTTTAGCTGGTTCAGGTTTGTTAAATTAGGGTTGGGGCTAAACTCTGCAGGACACTGGCCCTCCAGGACTGAGTTTGGAGACCCCTGTTGTAAATGCACCATGGATTGGAGTCTACCGTGTGATAAGAGAGCTGTGGTCGTAGTGGTGGAATCAAACTCTGCTTCAAGACAAACAATCAAACCAAATGTGAAAACATTAGAAATCTTCTGTCTTCATGACAGAAGGTTCCTCCAGTTCCTGATCTGAACATCCAGCCTCCTACAAACAGTGTAGCAGGTGTTAGCAGAAGTTCAGCACTGACTGCTGCTCTGGCACTTTCCTCATGTTAAAACCCTCAAGTCTTTAGACAGGTGCTGAATGGACATTTCCAATGTCTAACTCTGAACTCAGCATTTATGAAAATAGATGCTGCTTTAAAATAGTTTCAACTGTTGAGCCTCATCCGAATTGAAACGTATGTCGTCAGATTATTAGCAAATCGCTCCGCAAATGCGTTGTGTGTCTCAAGTACTATCAATTTTCACTTCATTACAGGGGCTAGATGCATGTGATTCACTGCCAAATGAGATGCTAATCGAACCAATTGTGTAATTAGTGAGACCAAAATCTGGCCAATGGCAAATCAGGACTGATGCTCATGGTTTCGTTAAAAGACAACAGCAGCCACTATCTGCAGCTGGCAGTCGTGCTGATTAGATAACATTATGAAAGCCTTGATTTGGATTCAGTATCAAAAAATGTTTTTGCTTTTCTGTCTATCACACAAGACAGAAGTGATTGCCACATGATCGTTGGTGCTTGTTGAGCTTTTGCAGTTGCCAATGCATTTGAAATTGTATTTTGCAAAAAGTGCCAGATGACACATTCAGATGGAACAAAATAAATCTTGACAGACTATGTGCTGTGCGTTGTAACAAAACTGAATTACATTAAAGAAATAGTTTACTCCAAAATGAAAAGTTACTATTCACATGCCCTCATGCTATTCCTGTATTTTTTATTTCTTCTGTGGACAAAAAAAAGACGCATAAACCTTACACTCAAAGCAAATGTGAATTTGACTTTTAGAAAGTTATTAACACTTTACTTGAAACATTTAAGTATAATTCATTATATAGATATTCATAATGTACATTGTGATGCATTATAACTTTTCATGATTGTCACCAAAGATAAAATGCATTATATATATATATATATATACAGTATATATATATTTTTTTTTGCAGGTTCTTTTTTTTACATATACAATTGTTTGTTTGTCATGTTTTAGTGCTTTAAACTTTCTAAAGATGTAACCATGAATAGATGAATACATAATGAATGGAGTATTATAATATAATAATATGAAATTAAATACAATCTAAATATCAACTGTATGTATTTATTTATTTCAACTAGTTACCAAGGCAACATTTCTAATTTGAATTTTGTTGATGTGCACAAATAACTGAATTAAAAATACTAAAATAAAAATAAAAAAAGTATTTCAATGATACTAAAAATAACACTGAAGGTATACCTGTGGTTAAAGTTATTCATGAGATCATATAATCCATTATGATGTGCATTACAAGGCATACTATAATGTGTTTTATAATAGATTATATTTAAAGGCTTTCTAAATTTTCATTACATATAAATGTATTTCTAAAGATAATTTGAGTGAGTCTGTTGAGGTGATCATGCACATCTTACCACAACAAGCCAAGCATAAATTCAATTAAAGATTATTGTATAATAAAACATTAACATTTTGTAATTATATATTTGTGATATGGTAATAAATTGATAATGACAGTATTTATGTTTTGTCAATGTTCCATCTGATAATGATCCTAATGAAAAGTGCTCCAGCAACCTCTGTTGCTATGGTTACCTCCTCAAGTGAAAGCACTTTCTGTATGAGAGTGTGTGTGTGTGTGTGTGTGTGTGTGTGTGTTTACCAGCAGGAGAAAAAAAACACACTATGACTGCTTTTTAAATATTCTTTTGTGGTTACTGTAAGTTTGTTTGAAAGAATATATAACCGTCTGCTTAACAGTCGAAAATAATCTTCTGCCACTAAACCACTGAGGCGGTTTTGTCGTGGTCCTCACTCAAAGTCTGGTCTGGTCTGCTCTGCAGGGAGTTTGCACGTTGGAAGGTGAGGAACACGGCCATCGAGAGGCGGGATCTGATCCGGAATCCTCTGCCCTTGATGCCGGAGTTCCAGCGCAGCATGCGGTTGCTCGGGCGACGGCCGTCCACGCAACAGTTCATCGACACCATCATCAAGAAATATGGGACGCACATCTTGATCTCAGCCACGCTGGGAGGTGAGTGCTGCCACCGACATATGCACAGCCATCTTATTATCGATTCATATTGAATGCAGACTCAATGTGATAGAGGAACATGGATATTTCATGCAGTCTAACCGTAGTGGTGCGTGCCTAATTTGGCAAAGTGCACATTACAACCAATTAATAGACTAGTTTGCACCAAAATATTGTTTGGTTTTAAGGCACTACAGGTGAATAGGGTAAAAACTTTTAACTAATAGATATCATCCTACTTTCCCCAGTTGATTATTCACTATTAATTGATTGTTTTGTATTATAAGTTTTCTGAAATGTTATGTTTAAGTATGCAACTGAGGCATTATCTAATTAAATATGCAAACAAAATTGCATACGTTTCCAGAACAGTAATATGAAACTTATTATTATTATTATTATTATCATTAATTGTTTGTTTATTTTGACATATTAAAGTACAAAATAAAGTTATTTGTTTTGTTTTGTTTTTTTTTCTCTTTTCATCATCCTGTTAAATTCAAAAATACTGTCAAGAGACAGACAAAAAAAACAATACATATTTATCATGTTTTTAGGAAATAAAATATTGTATAAAGTCAGGCGAATGTTATATGAACAAACCGATGCAAATAGATAAAGTGAAAAAAATATATGAAGTGTATGATGCATGAACAAATGCTTTAAGTAAAATCTTTCAGAATATGAACATGAATAAAACTGTAACATTTGGTGAATAAGTGTTGCTGAGATATTAATTGTAGATAAAGTGCAAAACATAAATAAATAAATGAATGAATAAATACTTAAATGTGTATTTTTGGGGTATTTTATACCCAATATAATACATTCTCAAAATGGAGCAGTGCCTGAAACAACGATGTTTTTCTGTAGTGTCTTGCCTTTAGAGTGGATAAGTCTATTTAAGTTCCTGTCCTAACTATGCTCAGTTTTATGGTTGCTATATCTGTTTCTGTGGTTCGTGAGATTCAGTGCTGTGGAACGTTTGAGAACGAATCATTCTGTTAATGTCTGTAAATGCCAATTCATTATCACATTTCGTGTGTTTGTGCAGGGCAGAACATATCGGTTACATACGTAACCCTCGTTCCCTGAAGGAGGGAACGGAGACGTCACGTCAGTGACTGACGAATTGGGATCTCGCTTAGAGAGACCGTATGAGAGTGTGTGTGTGTGTGTGTGTGTGTGTGTGTGTTTACCAGCAGGAGAAAAAAAACACACTATGACTGCTTTTTAAATATTCTTTTGTGGTTACTGTAAGTTTGTTTGAAAGAATATATAACCGTCTGCTTAACAGTCGAAAATAATCTTCTGCCACTAAACCACTGAGGCGGTTTTGTCGTGGTCCTCACTCAAAGTCTGGTCTGGTCTGCTCTGCAGGGAGTTTGCACGTTGGAAGGTGAGGAACACGGCCATCGAGAGGCGGGATCTGATCCGGAATCCTCTGCCCTTGATGCCGGAGTTCCAGCGCAGCATGCGGTTGCTCGGGCGACGGCCGTCCACGCAACAGTTCATCGACACCATCATCAAGAAATATGGGACGCACATCTTGATCTCAGCCACGCTGGGAGGTGAGTGCTGCCACCGACATATGCACAGCCATCTTATTATCGATTCATATTGAATGCAGACTCAATGTGATAGAGGAACATGGATATTTCATGCAGTCTAACCGTAGTGGTGCGTGCCTAATTTGGCAAAGTGCACATTACAACCAATTAATAGACTAGTTTGCACCAAAATATTGTTTGGTTTTAAGGCACTACAGGTGAATAGGGTAAAAACTTTTAACTAATAGATATCATCCTACTTTCCCCAGTTGATTATTCACTATTAATTGATTGTTTTGTATTATAAGTTTTCTGAAATGTTATGTTTAAGTATGCAACTGAGGCATTATCTAATTAAATATGCAAACAAAATTGCATACGTTTCCAGAACAGTAATATGAAACTTATTATTATTATTATTATTATCATTAATTGTTTGTTTATTTTGACATATTAAAGTACAAAATAAAGTTATTTGTTTTGTTTTGTTTTTTTTTCTCTTTTCATCATCCTGTTAAATTCAAAAATACTGTCAAGAGACAGACAAAAAAAACAATACATATTTATCATGTTTTTAGGAAATAAAATATTGTATAAAGTCAGGCGAATGTTATATGAACAAACCGATGCAAATAGATAAAGTGAAAAAAATATATGAAGTGTATGATGCATGAACAAATGCTTTAAGTAAAATCTTTCAGAATATGAACATGAATAAAACTGTAACATTTGGTGAATAAGTGTTGCTGAGATATTAATTGTAGATAAAGTGCAAAACATAAATAAATAAATGAATGAATAAATACTTAAATGTGTATTTTTGGGGTATTTTATACCCAATATAATACATTCTCAAAATGGAGCAGTGCCTGAAACAACGATGTTTTTCTGTAGTGTCTTGCCTTTAGAGTGGATAAGTCTATTTAAGTTCCTGTCCTAACTATGCTCAGTTTTATGGTTGCTATATCTGTTTCTGTGGTTCGTGAGATTCAGTGCTGTGGAACGTTTGAGAACGAATCATTCTGTTAATGTCTGTAAATGCCAATTCATTATCACATTTCGTGTGTTTGTGCAGGGCAGAACATATCGGTTACATACGTAACCCTCGTTCCCTGAAGGAGGGAACGGAGACGTCACGTCAGTGACTGACGAATTGGGATCTCGCTTAGAGAGACCAATCCTCTTCGAGTGTAAACTAAACAAGCCAATACACATTGGCATGCGATGATTGCATCCAGCTGCCGCTGCTCACAGCGTGAGCATAAAAAGGCAGCTGGTGCAATGCATACCAGGTTTTCGCTGAGGAGCCGAGCTGGTGACCCGGCCGCTCAGCGGTGGTACAGCAGTCGTGGCGACGGGACGGGACGTCTCCGTTCCCTTCGCCAGGGAACGAGGGTTACATATGTAACCAAGACGTTCCCTTTCAGTCGGTCACTCCGAGTCACTGACGAATTGGGATCCCTACCAAAGTTCACTTCCAGTGTTCTGTGCGAGCTGCCTGCACCCCTTTGTGGTGTAGGGTCATGGTCAGGTCATGCTTTTAGGTGCTGTCCATGAACTGGTGAGCTCCTCATGCACCTCCGGGAAGAAAGGCACTGAGAACCAGCACGAGCCACCCCGAGAAACTAATCGTCCAACCTCGAGGGCCCGGGACACGGTGGAAGTCGAGCCCTACCCTCTCGGCGGCCCGGAAAAGCCTAGCCGACATCTCTGGATCCGATTCAGGCCTTCTCATCATCTCGGAGGGCTGCAGCGCAGCCGAATCTTCCTCTCCAGAGAGCTCTCCCTCAGATGCAGTCATCGACATCCGGTCGTCGGAAGGAGCACCGAAGGATACCGCTGGTACGCTCTCTGAAGAGAGCCCAGCGTGTTCCTTTGGTGGCTCAACTGGTTGCAAAGTGCTAGAGGAGCGATGGTCCCCTGAGGGTTGGTTCCCTGAGGGGTTTGCCACCACTCTAAACCTCAGACCACCCGTGCTGCTTCCCGAAGTAGTCCACGACAGGCTGCTGCCAGGACAAACACTAGATCGCGGCAGAGGCAATGGAGCCCCTCCCCCCTGGAGGAAACGGAGCCTGGCCTGCAGCTCTGAGATGGTCATCTTCCCGCAATGGGAACATGACTCATCCGCGAACGCCACCAAAGTGTGTTTAATGCCCAGACACGTGAGGCAGCGATCGTGACCATCACCCGGCGCCAGGTAACGACCGCATCCAGAAATGCACGGGTGAAACGGCATCTTTAAAAAGACGATCCGTCGTCTTTACAAAGACTCACCCGCTTATTGTACTCTTTTAGAGAAATTGGCTCTTCAAGGGAAATGCTCTTTTAAGTGCTGAGATGCACATTGGAAATGGCCGCTTGCAGCATGACAGGGGTTTAGTGCAGCCTGAAGTGCGCAACCCACTTGACACAGGAACGACCACCGCTGAAGCGCTGTCCGCCAACACAAAAAGCTCCCGAGAGTGCGCTAGACTCGTCACACACGAAGCAGTTTGGTAGGAGCAGAACAATGTTGTCGCTCGGCTCCGAAGCGAAAAGCTGGTTTGCGTTGCACCGGCTGCCTTTTTATGCTCACGCTGTGATCAGCGGCAGCTGGATGCAATCACCGCATGCCAATATGCATTGGCTCGTTTAGTTTACACTCGAAGTGGATTGGTCTCTCTAAGCGAGATCCCAATTTGTCGGACGCGACGTGACTTGTAGTGACCGACTGAAAGGGAACAAATATTTTATTCTTTTGCAATTATCTTAATATAATGAATAATGTTCAAATCAAATATGATGTTACCGCCGGCTGCACTGTAGATTCTTCTGGTTGACAACACAGATGGTATTCTGATTCCGGAGTAAGTGAACACTTTGAACTGGTTTTGATGTGTGTATTCTCTGTGTGCTGGTCCTTTACCTTGAGAGAGAAGAGGAGACTGTGAAAAACAAAAACAAAAAAAACTATATATATAGGTGCTTATTGTCTCTATAGTTATGTGTGTCCCAGTGTTATTTTAGTATCATTGAGATACTATTTAGCTTTTGTTAATATGTTAATATTTATTGTAATTTAGTAGTAGTTAATATTTATTTATATTAAAATCGAAATATTATTATGTACATTATATAAATATAAATATTTTATATATATTAATTTATATTTACAATGATTATATGCATGTTTATTTTTGTGAGATTAGAATATTAATTTTAGTCAATTTTAGAGATACCTTTCAGTATTTAATATACAAGTATAGTTCAGTGTTATTTTAGTATCACTGAGATACTATTAAAGTTTAAAAAAATTATTAGTTTTTATTTTTGTTTTGTCTGTGTTAAGAAATGTATTTTATGTTATGTAATTGTAATTTAGTAGTAGTTAATATTTATTTATTATGATAATATTAAAATCTCAATATTATTATATGCATTATATAAATATTGATATTTTATCTATATTAATATATCTTTACAATACATTTTTATTGGTATATTAATTGTTTTTATGAGATTAGAATATTCAATTTAGTCAATTTTAGACATGCCTTTCAGTATTTAATATAAAAGTATAGTTCAGTGTTATTTTAGTATCATTGAGGTACTATTGTTATTATTATTATTGTTGTATTTTCTGTTTTAAGAAATTTAGTTTTAGTTATGTAATTGTAATTTAGTAGTAGTTAATATTTATTTATATTGATGATATTAAAATATAAATGTTATTATACACATTATATAAGCATTAATATTTTAATAATATTTTTAATTTTATATACATTTTAGTAATTTTATTGTGTTTTTCTCATTTATTTTTATTTATTCATTTAAATTTGTATTAATTAATATTTCAGTTTTAGTTTGTTATTTCAAGTACATCAAGGTCAACGAAATGAAAATGTGACGTTTCTTTTTTAATATGTTATTTTATTTCAGTTAATGTTTATTTTATTTAAAATACCAAAAAAGCTTGCACCCAAACTGTTACAATTTAGCTTTACATGATGGCCTACTGATAGCAATAATGATGGTAATAAACACTGCTAATAAATAATGTGAGGTTGTGAATGTTCAAACATGTAAGAGTCTATGTAACTAATTCAAAAGAGCAAGAAAATCCTTTTTTTTCCATGATATCTGCTTGCCAATATGCATTGGCTCGTTTAGTTTACACTCGAAGTGGATTGGTCTCTCTAAGCGAGATCCCAATTTGTCAGTCACCGACGTGACTCGGAGTGACCGACTGAAAGGGAATGGAGTCTGATATCCTTTTTGTCCTTTAAGGGCTCAGTTTCTTATAGATACACAGCTGTCAAGTGTAATTGCTCTGACATTGTCGTTTGGCTTTCACGGGGGAATTTGTATTCAGGGGTTGGAATATTATATCAGTTCTGGCTTAGTGGTTAAACTTGATGCTCTAATTATGGCATAGAGAAATTGGATAGTAAGAGGGAATATGATGCTGGACTGTAAGAACAGAATAAAACCAAATGCAGTGCAGCCAATGGAGGTGCTTATTCTTTCACTGTCTCTATAGTTATGTGTGTCCCAGTGTTATTTTAGTATCATTGAGATACTATTTAGCTTTTGTTAATATTTTCAGTCAAATCTTTTTTTTTGTTTTCTGTTTTCACTTTAATTTGTTCAACTTTAGTCATTTTGTTGTTTTTGTCATTTGTATCTCTAATATATTGTTGTTGTTGTTGTTGTTTATTTATTTTATTTATTTATTTTTATTTTTGTCTAGTTTTATTTATTTTAGTCATTCAAGTTAAGAAACAAAATGAGAAATTCTACATTGGCAACCTATTAAAAGAAAATTAATTTTTAATAAAAAAAAATCAGTTAATTATTATAAATAAATGTCTATAATAATCCGGGTGTGTCCCTGTCATAATTATATTAAATACAATTTAAATAATATATTTAAATGTAGTTTTATGTATTTTCTAAGAAAATTGTTAAACTGTGACATTTCCCTCATTAAAAGTATTTTGCTTGGATCAAAAAACAGTGATATTAACATACATAATGTG